TTTGTTTAAAGAATATTATTAGATACGACTTAAGAGTCTAAACTTTTATTTGAGAGGGGTGTAACCCAAGCTAATTTGCAAATAGTATTCATGGTACCAAATGTATCACACACTTTACAGTAATTATAAATTATATTTGAAAAATAAAGCACATCAAAAATGTATTTTTAAAAAACAATTGGTTTTATCTGCAGATACTAGGTTGATATTTCATGCTAACTTTTCTTTAGTCAAAATGCGCACAGTACACTAATTTGTCTAATGTTTTGATTCCATAGGCAGGAGGTTGTGGATCGGTGCTGCTCAGGATGGGATATTTTTGCTTCTAAATGCATATTACGTGTTTCACATGAATCCATCGTGCTCAGATTCGACTGTTTTCAAGGTCTGAAGGCTCCAACAGCCTTATTTTATGGGTACACAAGAGAATTTTCAGTGTTGCATGCATGGGTCAGTTGGAGTCACTAACCTCAAGATATCTATAAGCAAGGATAAGATAACCTGGAAGTAACATTCCATAATTTAGAGCAAAAAATGTATCTGCCTCCACAGCCCTTTCAAATGAAAGATGATGCCTCGGGGGTAATTTCTATCAAATATTTTACAGTATTATGGTTCTAGTGAAAAGGGGTGTAGGCGGCTTTTTTTTTAAAGTGTGGTAGGTCTAGTCGAAAGACACATTAAATGTTTATGCTAACAACTGCGAATTAATATTGCAACGCATACAAGTTAACAGAATTTGTTGAAATAGTCCTGGCTTTTGCCTTTCTTCAAAATCCTCCTTTTTTTAACTATTCCCTTCTTCTCTGGGCATGGCGAAAATTCAAATATCAATGGAACATGTAAGCAGCTGATAATGGGTTATCTTCCCTTTTTCCTGAAAATAAATTAAACACTAATCATCATTTGACAGTGCCAAGTTTGTGTATCAGATCAGTAATAAATTACCTGCTAACTAACAAAACAATCAGACAACACCTTCTGGCCATTAATGAAGATTTCTTTCAATTTAAAACGCAACTATGCCTACCAATGTGGTTAGTTTTTAGGATATAATTTATCTGTGGTTGGGGACAGATTGCAAGGTGCAACATCGTACGATTACCATTCTATGTCGGGATTAGTTAGCCAGTTATTTGTTTTAGAAGCATCGACTTGATGGTGGGGGATGTCGTAATCGACCAGCGGTCGTGTGAACCACCCTAAGTGGGAGGAGAGCTGCAATCCCCTCGCACATAATTATCCCCGCATGGGATTGGAACCTGTGAAACTCCCAGGGGGATCAGAGATGTGGTGGCGAGCGTATTCTCAGATAGAGAATTCAATTGAATTCTGGTTATTTTTTGCATTTGCACTGGCGTTAAACTTTAGTTATCTATTCAAATTTTCACACTTACTAATAGATTACCTGCTAACTAGGGAAACAATACCTTATGGAAATTATTGATTAATACCTTACACGAGTCAAGTCTGCAAGTAGGCCCTTACACGAGCCAAGTCTGCAAGTAGGCCTACGCCTAAGCATCCCAATAACAGTAGTTAGTTATCTGCTTTCCATTGAAATGAGGGAGCTTATGGATATTTAAAAAAATTGATAACGGCACATCATGACTCACCATCAACGAAGTGCTGTCCGCAAACAGTGAAACACAAGTAAGATGGCTTCTGGACTTGACACCAAGCAGTTCTGCCAATAGATGATATCCACATTGCGCGACGTTCCGGATCTTTTGAAATCAGTGGAATATTACTGAAGATCCATTTCGTTGTCTATACTATACGTACAGCCAGCGGAACAATACGAAATAATCATTTTCAACAGCCAAACAAAACGGAAACGTATAATCCGACTTGCAACTGACAGGAGCCAAATGGACGTTTTTGTTTTATTGCCGGCCAGTAACAAGGTCACGTGACCCGTGCAAGTCCTCTATTGAGGTACCGGTACTGGTACTTTTTGCAGAGATCAAAGTTTCCTATATTTTAATCCTTCTCTTTACCGTCATAGGTCATTTAGTACCGGTAATGTGCCAATTATGACATCACTCAAATATCACGTGCCTGTAGCCCGCGCTTTTTCTGGTTCAGGAATTAGGACTCGGTAAGCGAGGCTCTTTGTCGTTAGTGGATGTTTATTTTAGGCGGTTGGTTTTTGTAGCTTTTCATTCGTTAATTGAGCATGTTTGTGTTACAGTAGTAGACTTGTAGTTGGTAGACCAAAATATTCTTTAAATACCGTGTACATCAGCATCTAATGGTACCGGTACCGTACCTGTATACAGCGACATGCTTACACACTGCGTTAGTTTCGCCGTGTTACCGGTACCGGTATCTATCGACGACCAAGAGTAAAAATCTGAATTGGCTATTTTAGTATTTGTTTCGGAATAGATGTAACTTACCGGTAGCCTATGGTGATATGATACGTTCAAATGTTACAAGTCAGTGGCAACAATAGGTACGGTACCGGTAACAGACAGATGAATTCAACTATAGCTACAAAGTCTACAAGGCGGTCATCTTGGTCGGAACGTATTTGGCGCTTTACACTGTATTATATACATATCCTAATACTTTTAGGACATTTTATTCTTCACAGTAAAATGACGTCATTTCGAATCTCGATTCGAGAGCTCAAAATGAACCAGAACGATTTTAGTCATTTCATATTTGATTCATGAAAAATCTTACAATATGGGGGACCGATCCTAAAGTACGAATAATTGTAACAACGGAAAATAATAAATTGAAATGACTGAAACTAAATTCGCTATTGTTGAGGTGATGGTTTAAAATAAGGATTATTTGTTTTTGGAAAAATATAATTTTGCCGAAAAATACTACGGATTGTTTTGGTTCATTTAAACGAAACCAATAAGAGTCAGTGGTGACCATGTAATAAATGTTATACCAAAAATGATTACATGTTGCAGAAGTGCTCGTGGTACTACAATATTATATTTTCACATGCGACATAGTGTGCTCTAGAGCATAGGTTCTCAAAGTGCTCCGTACGGAGCCCCAGGGCTCCACGAGAGAAGCCTAGGGGCTCCGCGAGCTATTTGATTATTTTTCAAAAGACTGACTTGGCTAATTTTGTAACTGTCCAAGTAAGCAACAACAGCTTTAATAAAATTTGACAACAAATAGCCTCGAAATATGGCAAAGAGGCGGAATTAAAAAATGACATTATTTATAAGCAAAAGCGCAGCCAGGATTCTCAAGAGGGAGGGGGATCAAAATTGAAATCGGAAATTTCCGCGCAACACTATTCGCGATTGAGTAAAAAAACTTTTTTAATGGATAACGAGATTTCTGTTACGTAAAATATTCAATCCATGTCTGATTCGAGCATTTAAAATGTCTTGTCATAATAATTTAATTGTGCTCGTCGTTACTGACGTTTGATTCAAGATGACTATGAGAATTACTTAAATAAAAGATTACTATTCTAAAATACCATAAAATACGTGATAAACTGCCAACTATAAATAAATTGAAATGGTATTTTTGCGATCTTGGGATTTGTCAAACTTTTGTTTCTTCGCACTCGAGATTATTTTTAAGCAAGATATCGCCGTTACAAAAATTCCGAGGTCGACGTTAAATTGTGCAATCTATGACCATTGCGGGCATATTTGAAATGACTTGTTTATTGGGATAATTCTGTTAAACGTAACCTGCGGTTGTGTCACTCACAATAGAAAATCATTACTTCTCAAATAACCACGGCAGTCCGCGGACATAAAATGAGAAACAATGAAACAAAGTTAAGTTAACGAAGTTCTTGTGGACTACTGTATATCCTGAACAACGCTGATATCATAAGATATTAGAAACGAAGTCATATTGCCCACAAAATAACATACATACTACCGGTGCCAGAAGTTTGATAAGATATTTGTGTCCGTCCCGATCAAAATCATAATCGTAATCATGACCTATTGGTGGATTATAACGATTTAGCGAATTCGACAACTTTGAGCCTTTCTTGCAACACTGACTCCACCCTATCGCAGGTCTGCCACTCAGATTCTTTGCAAGATATCATCGTCCAAAAAATAACAAGGTCTGGGCAAAATACGAACGATTGAAATTTATGTTATCGCATGCGGCTCCGTTGGTAGTTTCAGAATGAATAAAAGGTACATAGCGCGCACAATTGTGACTGTGTTTCTATTTCAGTTGCTATGATGAATAACCAAAGAAAACCTAACATATCATCAAATATATATTGTCATTTGCAATGTCTAAAAAAGTGTCTGTCATGTCGTATCGTGAGTCTGCTGAAACAAAACTTATATTGTTATCTTCCGTTTCAAGTTTTAGTTTTAATATTACATAATGCCGCTTTTTAATCAAGAAATTTGAGTTGCGGATTCACCGCCGATTCTTTATTAATTAATTTTAGCATCTCGTCGCCGATGACTATATTAAATTAACATGTTCTTCACATCGAATTCATAATTCCCCACGAGAACAAAAAAGCAATTATCGTTGTCATTGTGGAACAATACACATATATGCCGGAGGAAATTTTTGATTTAGGGAGAATAAACACCGACGTAAAGATGTTTAAGGTATAACGTTTCACGCCCTCGAAAACAGTCGGCGATTGTACCAAAATACAATCGCGCAGTAACCTTTCAAAGTCTTCCAAAAATATCAAAAGGAAAAAGATTCGACCTCTAGTTTATTAATATGTTTGTCGAATGTCAAATTTACAGCCTTAATATATATGATTTATCATTGAAATTTAGATTTATTTATGACTTGTATTAACCATATTAAAAAAGGATTAGCATTTAAATCAAGTAAAGTACTTTTAACATACTCAATAATATTAATCGGAAAGTAACAATTTTAAAATTTGTTTTAGGGCTCCGTGAATAATGGTCAACTTCTTCACGGGCTCCGCAACACCAAAAGTTTGAGAACCCCTGCTCTAGAGGTTGCCTGTTTCCATGTCTGTGTAATAATTACTTGACAATAATTGCCCTTTCTTTTCCAAGCAGGCTGTCCTGACTAATCGCAAGGTCGATGACCCAACCTCTATGAAATTACCAGTACTTAGTGTCATTCAATCAGAAAGTGGATCATTTACTCAGGCATTATTATTTAGGACATTGAAATATTCAACCAATAAGAAAATTTCTGAATTTATAAGTTCTTCAAAATCGAAATCAAAGAGTCTGAAAACTGAATTACCAAAATCGACTGGGGTGGTCACGTTGATCGCCTATTATTTTGGAGAGGACCTAAACCAAATATTTGAGTGTTTCCAGGTATGTTCTATGCTTTTTTTGTGTAAAGTGCTTTTTTTTTGAAAGTTTTCGCATCAAGAGTAATGTAACTTCTGCACAACACTGTTCGTATAAAGTTTTGTGAGCCGACTGCAAATTAATTGGAAACTAACTGCATGATAGTGGTTAACGGAATTTTCCTGCATATTTATTCACTACTCTGCCTATTTTCAGAAAGAAACCACTTTTTCCCAGATATTAGAACAGGGGTGGGCAAATTACGGCCCGCGGGCCGGATCCGGCCCACTTGAGTGTTTCATCCGGCCCACTTATGGCTGCTGAAATTATGACTAGGGTTTTTATGAATTTAAATTTCTGTTGAATATATCGATGTGTTAAAATGACATTTCATTGAAAATATCGATAACGGATCGTAAATACCGTTATTCCCTACGTATGGATATTTCCACCTGGTTATTTCCGTAGGCCAATCAGCAAAAAGTTTTAGAGGACGTCGGCTAACAATTAATATTTTTGCCTAATTTTTGGGGTTGTGCATGGTGTTTGTCGGTTTTTAGTTATGATTCAATAAATTAGTTGTAAATGAACTGGTTTAATTGTTACTAAGTCTTTTGCTGAGCTTCAGTTTAGTTGCAATATTCAAAAAAAAAAATTGAGAGTTTCGTCCATGAAAATCAGTTTGTGAGTGCCAACTCTCCAAAACACTTGCAAAATAAGCATCTGAACTTTTTACAATAGTAAAGTATAGGGAGAATTTGTCTGCGGTCGAGGGTCTGGAAAAGATCCATTCATTAAAAGCACCTGAATATTATGTGCAAAACCATTCATCCGAATTATTTATACCATTCAAGAACTCTAGCACCTGATATATCAGTATTTGGGCCTGCAAATTTTTTTTGCGTTCGTGAATGTCCCAACACATGTTAAATCCGTTTGTCTAGTACTGCGACTCTCAAAGTGGGCGATAATCCCCCTCCCCCTGGAAGTGAAGGAGAGTTAAGACATGGGGCAAAGGGCAACTGCGCATTATTGAGGATAGGGATAAATAAAAATCACCGATTGTTTTCTTCAGCATGACATGGGTTTAAGCCGTGAACATCGGTATTATGTCGGCAAACTATATTATGTCGAATAATCCCTATCTCTTGGTACCGTTGAATTTATCGAATAACTTCATAATGACCTCAATTGTTAGATTGTGCTGTCTTTAATATGAACGTTAGTCTGGCTGTTGAACTACTTTTTCTATAAACTTTCGCTCTGCAGCTGCCGTAATTTGCCATCCTCTGTAATAACGTCCCATTAATCGTTATGTCTACGTATTTACAAATTACAAACCGTTTTTGATAATATTGAGTTTTGTTCCTCCGGCCCAGTAACCAAATCTATTATCCGAATCCGGCTCACTCAGAAAAGTAATTGCCCACCCCTGTATTAGAAGATATTCCAAAATCTCCATTTATTGCTTGCATAGGTGAGTGTTAGAGGTGAGCGATGTAATTGTGAATATCAGGAACAATTTCGAAATATGATATGATAGCTGTTTTCCTGTGATTAATTCTGCAACTTTTTCAAAGGCCATTTTGTGTCGCCATATACTTCTCAATCGTGATTATTATAAAATAATATCACCAGCTTCTGTCATGCAACCTGCTTTAACTGTTGTGTCACAGTATGCATTGCTTGAAATATGAAATATTTCTGAAAGAACGTAATGCGCATCATAAGCCTCATCAATGTAATAAGTTCTCCCTTCGTTTTATCAGTGTTACGCTTGCTATCAACGGCGAGTGAAAATAAGAACAAATCCATGTCTGCTATGTTAGATATATAGCCAAGGCCAATTTTGAGATGATCGTACTATTATACAATTAATAATTGTGTAATTGCATATTATCAAAAAATCACTAATCGTCCACCTCTAGTAAGTGTATTTGTTATTAGTTGGCTTTAGAAGTTGAGATAATAAGATTAATCAACCTGTCAAGTGACTTTCACTTTATTCATAAGCCTATAGATTTGAAGCTAAAGTTTACAATCTTGTGTTTCAGGTAACACGGTAGCGACTGCTGAGACTTTTTACGTCATCGCTGAACGAGAAGTGGTGTGTTCCTGTAGATCGTTTTTTGAAGCGGTAGCTCTTCAGTTTGATTCGTTCTATGTTTTCAACATAGAATATCCAAAGAAGGTCTTGTTGACGTTTGATTTTATTCATAGGTAAGAAAAAATGTGCTAGTCTACAGTGCTGATATAATTCTTGCTGTTGGCACAATGTGCACGTTGTTGACGAATTACCTGTTACTTCTGTCATGTAGTGTTATTTGATGACATACAATACGAAAAATGGGTTGTGAAAATGAAATATGTGACTGGACTTGCACAAACTCATGGTGTCCATACTCTGGGGACTGGGCCATAAGTAGAGCTGGGAATAATTTAATTAGTTAAACAGTTTTTAGGTGGTTAATGATAGTCATGATTTATTTTAACCATTCATCGGTACGGTACCGATTAATGGTTAAAATAAATCATGACTGACTGGCGGTACCACACATGTTTCCTCCTAATCTAATATGTTTTACATCCATATGTGAAAAATGAACTCACAACAATCCTATTTTAGTGAACTTCACTTTCAAACGATGTCACTGTGCTCTCCATTTTGTAGCAGGAAAGTTTTGATATATTTGCAAAAAATCATTACTAATGACAGAAATTAATACAATATTTTTCAATTGCTGCATTTGCAATCGAATGTCAACGAGCGTATGAGCCTATTGCGATTTGAGACAACTGGGGGCTAGGAGGATCCGGAGCTTTCTGGTTTGGCAATTGCATTCCTGGCCCACTGACAGTTTTTTGTTTATCCCTTGGCAAGGCACGATACATTATAAATACCTGACATTTTTACTATTTTTGTCCAGTGTTTGTGTTTTTACTATTTTGGTGGTTTACCAAATTTCATATGTGAAACCTATTCGCCATTTAAGTTCGGCCTTTTTTCAGGTTCTTCGGTGACATAAACCCCAGAGGCACTAAGTCGAAAAAAAGTAAAGGCAAAGACGTTCATGCAAAAGCAATCGGCCTTGCAAGAAGAGTGAATCTATCACAGGCGTTATATGTGCCGTTGTTAGAAATTTAAGTAAACTTTGGTGGTGTTACTGCAGCTTACATCACTTTTGACCAGGGGTGAAAACTCGATCAAATTTTCACATGCCTTTGATTGAGTTTCTTAAGTTCGAGTTCATTACCCTGGTCAGGGGTTTGAGTTCATGTATTTGATAGAGTTTTTCGAAGTTCGAGTTCGCAGCCCTGCTTTTGGCTGATCGATTAATTTGATAAAAAATGATTTAGCTGTGTGTTGGGTGTGAAGTCTGGATAATTTTAAACAAACTCTGCTCCGTGATCTTCTTCAACCACAAAATTTCTGGCTTCCACTCATGACTATCAACTCCCACATTTGCAAATATATGACTCCGTCTCCTGCTCAAGACTCTTTCAAAATATGAATTAAAACTCTTGACTCCCTGATCTTTTAAGATTTGACTGCTGCTATGCTAGCTGCTTTAGTGTAACTTTTTGTCCAGTTTTATCAATTTTAACATTTTCGAATTTGCAACTTCTGCAAACTCTGCTCCTAGCTCATGAGCTTTAAAAATGTCCAGTCAAACTCTATTCATAAGTGTGGATAAACTCCGACTATGATTAACTCTATAGACTCTGCAAGCTTCAAAATTTAGAACTCCCACTCATGCTCCTACCAAAATCCTCAAACTCCCGCTCTTCGACTTCACGCCCCTTGAAATCTTATCTTGAAAATTAATAAATTATCTTGCATAATTAACTTTAGAATTTGTCATCTTTGAAACTCTTGCCATAGCTACAAAATAGGTTGCATGATATTTCCCAAAATTTTCATTTTGAAACATTATAATTAGAGTAAAGTGCAAAAAATCGTGAAATTCTTACAATAGTCTCGTTATTATGTCACGTTTGCCAGCGTCTCATAGCCTGGTATCCAGAAATTTGATTTCAAAATAAGTTTGTCAACTAAACAACCCAATCCTAAAACGTTTTCTTGTTTGACTTTATTTGGATCTATTGAGATAAATAAACAGACCTCGATATGTATAGACCAGATTTCTAACAAGTGCCGATAGAAACTCAATTTTGATCCATTACATACAGAATTCCTATGTCCTACAAGAACTTGTGCCCTCATTTTATTGCATGGATAGCCTTCAACGTCTCCTAATAAGTGTTTAAATTTGACTGTAGTCCATATATTTTCTGAAATTTCTTTCGAAACTGTTTTACAAGCCTTAAAGGCATTCAGTGTGTATTTATGGTTTTATAAAAATATCAATTGTAATTAAAATGATTTTCGTTTCCAGAATCTCGTTTTTTTTTGTTTTAACTGTAATATTCTGTGTGTTTACTGTTGTGTCGTGCCAGTAAATAGCTTTGCTACTCTCGTAGTGGTTCGGTCATCGCGAGTGAGAAATTACCATCATGCTAGTATTGTATGGTACTACTGTCGGGTAAGGTAGCTGCCATCGAGATAGTAATTTTATTTACTATTTTGAGGTAAAAAATATTACTACTGGTGGGTAGGTTTACTGCCGTCAAAAAAGTAGTATTTTTTAAAGTTTTATAGTAATTTTTGCTACCATCAATCTCTGTAAATTTACTGAAAATACTGTTCATAATACTACTGATAGGGCCTGTAAATTTTTTTACATGGGCCAGTACTTTTGCTGCCATTTTTTTTCTTAGTAAATTTGGAAAAATTTTTTTAACAGTGTAGCAGTAGCTTTCCTTTTGATATGAATTAAAAGTAACATTTTATTGCTTTGATACGTTCGAAGTAACTCTCCAAAAAACAATAAACTAGGTTATGTGTTGTCATCTTGCTAACCAGGTATATCCGGAATGGTAATGATCCAAAACCAAATTACGTTTCTGCGTCATATTACAAAAATCATGAATTAAGTAGGTAATTTTTGTGCATATTACTCCAGCCGATCAATATCAGATAAAAAAAACATGACAAAAATGAGTGCTCTAGATCATAGGTTCTCAAAGTGCTCCGTACGGAGCCCCAGGGCTCCGCGAGAGAAACCCAGGGGCTCCGCGAGCTATTCGATTACTCTTCGAAATACTGACTCAAAATTTTGTAACTTTTGAAACAAGCAATAACAACGTTGATAAAATCTGACAACAATACAGCCTCGAAATATGGTAAAGAGGCGGAATTAAAAATGACATTATTTATAAGCAGGAGCGCAGCCAGGATTCTTAAGAGGGAGGTGGTTCAAAATTGGAATCGGAAATTTCCGCGCAACATTCTTCGCCATTAAAAAAACGGATAACGAGATTTCTGTTGCGTAAAATATTCAATCCATGACCGATGCGAGCATTCAACGTGTCTCTTCGTTATAATGTAATTCTGATCATCGTTACTCAAGTTTGATGCGAGATTGGTATTAGGATTACTAAAATCTAAAATGAAAGAATACTATTCTAAAATAACATAAAATATGTGATAAACTGCCAACAATAAATAAAGTGGAGTCGTATTTTCGCGATCTTGGGATTTGTCAAACTTGATTTGTTCTTTCGCACCTGAGATTATTTTTAAGCAGGATATCGCCGTTTAAAAAATCACAATGTCTGGGCAAAATACGAACAATTAGAATTTATTTTATTGCATTCGGCTCCGTCGGTAGTTTCAGAATGAAAAAAAGGTACATTGTGGATCGCGCGCACAATTGATTGCGTGCGGCTCCGTCGGTAGTTTCAGGATGGGAAAAAAGGTACATCGCGCGCACAATTGACTGTGTTTCGATTTCGCAGTTACTACGACGAAAACCTAACATAACACCAAATTTTGTGATTTACAATGTCTATAAAAGCGTTTTCAATCTGAGGTGAGTCTGCTGAAGCCAAACGTGTGATCTTCCATTTTAAGATTCAGTTTTAATATTTTAGAATGCCGTTTTTCAATCAAGAAATTTGAGTTGCGGATTTATCTCTTTATGTAGCATTTCGTCGGCGATGACTATAATATGGTAACATGTTTTTCACATTGAACTCATAATTTCCCACGAGAACAAAAAAGGAATTAACGTCGTCATTGTGTAACAATACATGTATATGCCGAGGGAAATTTTTGATTTAGGGAGAATAAACACCGGCGTAAAGATGTTTAAAACACGCAATGCTGACGAAACGAAAAAAATCGGCGATTGTAACAAAATAAAATCGTGCACGTTATTAGCGGCCTGTTAAGTCTTCCAAAAATGTCAAAAGAGAAAAGATTCGACCCCTAATTTATTAATATGTTCGTCAAGTGTCAAATTTACAGCTTTAGTATGAAATTCAGATTCATTTATGGCTTGTGTTAATCCTATTAAAAAAGGTTCAGCATTTTAAATAAGTAAAGTACTTTTAACTTGCCCAGGAATATTAATCTGAAAGTAACAATTTTAACATTTATTTTGGGGCTCCGCGAATAATATTCAACTTTTCAAGGGCTCCGCAACACCAAAAGTTTGAGAACCCCTGCTCTAGATCAGTGTTTCCCAACCTTTTTACCCTGGCGGACCGGGAAAATTAAATTAAATGTACTCGCGGACCGGCAACAATTCTAATGACCGGAACAGAAAGGAATAACATATATGTGCTTAATATAATGCAATGTCGGACACTCAATATGCTTCTAGACAAAAAAGGCATACTTGAAAACATTTCACACGAAGAAAAACTATCAAATAATGTGCCGGCCAAAAATTGAAATGGGTGAAACATAAAATATTACCTTATATTTGCGCAACGAAATGCAGTGCTGGGCACCCATTATGCGTGATGAATGGCATACATTAAATATCTCACATAAGAACATGTACATGCCAAATCATGTAAAAACACAATTAACTCTAGTGAGAATTTTGCTGTTTCGTTTTCAATATAAGATTTCAAACGAGGCCTCAAAGAAGTTTCTGCAACACGTGGCTCTGCAGCGGCGTGTAGTTGATTTCTTTGCTCCGTTTTAATTGAAGCTAGAGATGAAAATGTTTTTTCGCATAACGCATAAGTAACTGGTTGAAACTACGGACAACAGTTTGATTGCTCTATTACTTAGCGATGGGTATTCGCAATGTGTATATATGCTCATTGGTATTCGTTATCAAGAGATATCCAAAATTGTGACAGTGATTCTTTTTTAAATCTGGACTATAAAGTATAATCCCAATTTTAATCAAGCTTTTTCTTTTTCATCGGGTTTATAATATTAATCACTCTGTAGTTGACCGACGCCTCAAACGAAATGAATTTAAATTACAATGACAAAGTCGTCGGTAACTTGGCACCAGGCTCAATCCTACTGTGTCTGCTCAAAATACTGGAAAAGATCTCAGCGGTCCATGCTTTTTTGCGCGTCTCGTGACCACCTGTAGGGTCGCATTAAAGCGATTGGGACGGCATAAAAACAACGAAATTTCTTGCGGACAGGCAAAAAAGCTTCGCGGACCGGCGGTTGGGAACCACTGCTTTTGTCTAGATGTATGCGCACCAAGATGTCGCACAACCTTAATTATAACCGGTACACACATACTATGTTCAGGTTGTGCGCCATCTTGGTGCGCATACTTCAAGAGGTCCCGAAAATGTTATCATATCTTGAGGAAAGCATTTTTTATAAGTAATAATTCATTTTGACTGTTGTAAGATGGCATTCTGAATAAATTATTATCGTGATCAGAATGGATCCGATAATACAGAGTGTAGTAAAGAAAATATGCATTTATTATAACAGTTCTCAGTCCTTAACCCTAAAAAATAGATTCTGGTCGATCTCCTGAATCAGTGTCTATATTTCATCTATTCGCCAAGTAGTTATGGCTTCAATTCATTTGTTGTAACAAATTGTTTACTGCGTACCTCGGTCATGGTGCTTGAATTCATTTGTTTATAAATTATAACTGAGGTTTGTCATTTGTATTTTGAACCCGAAAAACAAGCTTCTGTGCATGCAATTTGGTTCCACAACATACAAACTCAGTGGAGTTGGCAAACTGACAAAATATATATTAGTTTGGGAGTTCTTATGACCTTACTTACCTCCGTCGTATCACCGTATCAAAACAAAAAATATTAATTTAAATTTATATGAATAGAGCAAAACTACCGCTATAATTAAGTAAGTATATTTGTGAGCTTTCGTTAGATCATGGTCTAACTTCTTCAAACAATACAAGATTTACCTTAATGACAGCAATAATGGTTATATCTTACCGTACTTACTATTTTGTTGAAAGAGATCATGTTATTTTTACTTATCACTTTAATACTACTCGTTCAAGCATCCTTGTGGTGAGCACTACTCACGGATCCGAAGTAGAAAGTAAACAAGGAGAAAGGACCTGCAGGGTCATACACAATATGCAAGTTCCCCTAGTATTGACATATAATTAAGTACTTGATCAAGTTTGAGTCGCCTATAAATTATCCTGTTTCCCCATATTTGATCAACAATAATGAAAGTTGTGAGAGCAATCCATCAATATAATAATCTATACTTTGTTCATCGCTGACAAGCAGTTCCTCCCACGACACGAACTTTTTTTAAATTGTTTGTTTATTTCAACAGCTGGTTTAACTATTGAGTTGCCAATCGAGTTCTCCATTCATATTTCAAGGCCATTGATTCACTATCGATATCCGCTCTTATTTTCAAGAAACAATACGTGTCAATCACGGTCTTGCTAACTATGCTTTCATGTTTCTATGCGGGGTTTCCGAATACACTTTTATTATCATGAACATGTTAAATAGGAATAACATATTCTTACCACGGAATAGCAAGTATATCTTTAATCCTAGCTTAGATCGTATCGTAGTATGTATATATAGAGCAGTGCTCTTCAACCGGGTATACGGTACATTGTTACATCGGCTGCCATGAACTTCGTTTGATTTACGTTGAACATTATTCCGGTTGACGCTAAGGCAGGCAGTCAATTTATAACTTGCGGACACTAGCCTATTAGATTGCATGATGATATTGCAGTACAATATGTGATTAAAATTTAATGTTTATTTAAGCTTTAAATAAACATTGGTATTTGTAAGGTATACAAAGTTCTTGAAAAATTGTAAAAGGTATACCACAGTAAAAAAGGTTGAAGAACACTGATATAGAGTATAATTTCTACAAACAAAACATGATAAAACCAAACATCTTGAGAATTTTTTACTCAATAGACCAGTGGTCGGCAACCTTTTTTAAGTGACGGACCGGTAAAGCTTGACGAAAATGACGAAGTGATGCTATTTAATGCGAGATCTGTATTTATTGGCTGGCCATTAACTGTTCCAATATTGAAGATATGGTCGACATAGACACATGTAACGTGTTTCATACAGCCTACTTCGATATTTCGTTTTTGTAGTTATCAATATTGAAAACCAGGCCTCACAATAATAAGATGTTGGGATAGGTAACAATGCATGTAAACCTTCTAGCTGTTTCTAGTCTGGGTATTGATTGGTGTTTGATTGAACATTTGATTTTATTATTGTTTGTTTTGCCATAACTTTTTTTTTACCCGATGTGTTAACTTTATGATTATCCTGATTCCTGAAGTATAGAACTAGCACTGACTGTCATGACCAGTTAGCTATGAGCAAGTAGTGGAGTAGTCACTAGTCACGTTCCTAGCGAAAATCATTTTGTTCGAGAGATCTTATTCCGACTGATGTGAGACTTTCTTATACAGGCGTTGAGGAAACAATTGACCCAGCGTCAATGTGACATAATGACAT